AAATAATATTAATATAAACTCTGGAGTCAGATATTCAATCATCGACCTGAACTCTGATATATAAATGTGATCACAGTATCATTTCTCAGAAACGCAAACAAAAACAATTTAAAAAAAGGAAAGTTTGAGGTTTTAAAAGTTGTAATAACGTTCGGTCGGCTCGACCAGCTGGTCTTAGCTAGTCTCCTAGCTGGTTATGGGCACTTTTTTGGCTGGTTAGGCTGGGAGACCCGCTTAAACCAGCTAGAACCAGTAGAACGTCTGGTTTAGGCATTGGCTGTTCATCAGCGATCGAATTTAAAAAAAAGGATTATATCAAAAAATGTGCTTTTTCATGAAGTATGCGAATGCAAACACTTCTAGTTACAGTTTCACGTATTGTTTTGCTACGAAATGCGTCAGAAAACAATTTATAAAACAATGCAAGTACGTGCTGCATTCTCAGTATCGCCACTGGGGGCGCTAGCAGACGTTAGCGCAATCGGTCTTCTTCTACAGTCAGCTCAGCGATGATCAAGACGCCGCAACAGTTAGCAGTCTTGCTAAGCAGGTTAGTTAAACTGTTGAAACGTTTATATGTAGCTAGGAGCTAAATAAAAAATCTAGTTTGATAACGTTAGCATGCGTATGTATTGCGTTTTTGGCCTTCAAGACTTGCGAACATAGCAAAAGGGAAAAAGACGTACTAGTAAAACTCAACGTTACAAGCTTGCGAACCGACCCAAAATAGATGGAGCAGAATGGGTTTCGCTAGTAGCAGCAAACTTAGATATTTAACGTAATTTGGCATAAAATCTTTTGTCGTGTTGCGCTACAATTTTTCGCAAGGGTTTTTTCCTTATCCCTTCCGAAAAAAAACGTCCTTAACTCGAAAAATCATTGTGTCGTCAAAGATATTTTCGTTTCCATTGTGAATTCACTTCATAAAACAATGCAAGTACGTGCTGCATTCTCAGTATCGCCACTGGGGGGCGCTAGAAAACGTTAGCGCAATCAGTCTTCTACAGTCAGCTCAACTACGGTCAAGACGCCGCAACAGTTAGCAGTCTTGCTGAGCAGTTTAGTTAAAGCTAGGTTAGTTAAACATCTTGTTTCATAGCGTTACCATACTTATGTTGCGTGTTTTTGGCCTTAAAGATTTGCGAACATAGCAAAAGGACAAAGGACGTACTAGTAAAACTCAACGTTATAAGCCTGAGAACCAACCCAAAATAGATGGAGCAAAATGGGTTTCACCAGTAGCAGCAACCTCTTAAACAACTCTAAAAATCATTGTGTCGTCAAAGACATTGTGAATAGATCAATAGGAATGCATTGCTGCGATTTAAAGATTGGGTTAAAGAAGTTGTGACGCACATGTGAGGCAGATTTGAGCAGCAAATGAGGGTCTTTATTGCGTTTACGATGACGTCTCTCGGCCTGCTTTAGAGTTCAGTTCAGTAACAAATCATCCAGTCGCATAAGATCCAAAGAGTTTTATAACGGTAGCAACTCGAGAGCTGGCGATCACAGTGATTTGGTCCGCGAGCCTGGAATGGTTTGGGTCAGTACATGTCCCTGTAGATCTCCTGCAGGAGCGGGTGCAGCGACGTCTCGGACTCCGTCTTCTTGATCTTCTGCACCAGCTGAGCGTTCTCCGTCACTAGTTGCCGAAGGTCTGCCAGCTTCTGCAGGAGTTTGGGGAAGATGAAGCCGGCGTCGGGGTGATTGAGCGTCAGGTGATGATTGAGGGCCTGGAGAATGTTGTCCTGGATCTCCTCCACCTGATGGACGTTCATGAGTCCTGGACGATCTACGCTCAAGGAAACATGCACAAACCACTTTTATTTGTACGTCATTTCTCTTATTACAGTTCCAGTTATGAAACTCAAACACCTAGATTACTCCCTAAATACTTAACGACCCTAAAAAACACACCAATGATCCCCAAAAATGCCCAGAAACTCTTTTGGTGCGTTCACACCAAACGCGAATAGAGCGTCTGGCGCAAGTGATTTCAATGTTAAGTCAATGTAAAGACGCGTTTACGCGCGTCTAGAGGTCCTGCGACGCAAATGAGGCGTTTAGCGAGGCAGACGCGATTGAGCGTCTGGCGCGATATGCGCGAATGATTTTATTTGGTGCATTCATGCGAATGTTCCTTTTTAAACCCTGCCCATAAAGTCTCAAAAACATCCTTCATGCACTCAAATACCCCCACAGACATCAACCTGCCCTCAAAACAGCCCAATCTCACACAAGTCGCCGAAAGCTCACCTCCGCACAGGATGATGGCGGCCACGAACAGGGCTAGGTCGCTGTCGTCCAGCTCGAGAGCGTTAAACTTCACCGCAAACTCGAACTTCGGCTCCATGATCTCGCTGAAGGGTTTGCGAAGACTGCGGAGGAACTCCCTCGTCACGAAGCCCCGGCCGTTCGCCACCAGCAGCCCGTCCTTATTCATGAGCGACGGCAGCATGGCGAAGATCGCCTCGTGGACGCCGTACTTCAACAGCGTCACCTGGGGAGCAAAGGCAAGGCAAGCTAGTCAAGAGTCCAGAAAACGCACATTGTTCGTAAAAAGAATTATTGCGTAAAACAAAAAATGGATTTCCATTCATCCATGCATCCATGCATCCATCCATCCATCCATCCATGCATCCATGCATCCATCCATCCATCCATCCATGCATCCATCCATGCATCCATCCATCAATACATCCATCTATCCATCCATCCATCCATCCATCCATGCATCCATCCATCCATCCATCCATCCATCCATCCATGCATCCATCCATCCATGCATCCATCCATGCATCCATCCATGCATCCATCCATCCATCCATCCATCCATCCATGCATCCATCCATCCATCTATCCATCCATCCATCCATCCATCCATCCATGCATCCATCCATCCATCCATCCATGCATCCATCCATCCATGCATCCATCCATGCATCCATCCATGCATCCATCCATCCATCCATCCATCCATCCATCCATGCATCCATCCATACATCCATCTATCCATCCATCCATCCATCCATCCATCCATCCATCCATCCATCCATCCATGCATCCATCCATCCATCCATCCATCCATGCATCCATCCATCCATCCATCCATGCATCCATCCATGCATCCATCTATCCATCCATCCATCCATGCATCCATCCATCCATCCATCCATCCAACCATGCATCCATCCATCCATCCATGCATCCATCCATCCATCCAACCATGCATCCATCCATCCATCCATGCATCCATCCATGCATCAATCCATCCATCCATGCATCCATCCATCCATCCATGCATCCATCCATCCATCCATCCATGCATCCATCCATGCATCCATCCATCCATCCATCCATCCATGCATCCATCCATCCATCCATGCATCCATCCATGCATCCATCCATCCATGCATCCATCCATCCATCCATGCATCCATCCATCCAACCATGCATCCATCCATCCATCCATCCATGCATCCATCCATCCATCCATGCATCCATCCATGCATCAATCCATCCATCCATGTATCCATCCATCCATGCATCCATCCATCCATGCATCCATCCATCCATGGATCCGTGCATCCATCCATGCATCCATCCATGCATCAATCCATCCATCCATCCATGCATCCATCCATGCATCCATCCATCCATGCATCCATCCATCCATCCATGCATCCATCCATCCAACCATGCATCCATCCATCCATCCATGCATCCATCCATCCATCCATGCATCCATCCATGCATCAATCCATCCATCCATGCATCCATCCATCCATGCATCCATCCATCCATGCATCCATCCATGCATCCATCCATCCATCCATCCATGCATCCATCCATGCATCCAACCATGCATCCGTGCATCCATCCATGCATCCATCCATGCATCCATCCATGCATCCATCCATCCATCCATCCATGCATCCATCCATGCATCCATCCATCCATGCATCCGTGCATCCATCCATGCATCCATCCATGCATCCATCCATGCATCAATCCATCCATCCATCCATGCATCTATCTATCTATCTATCTATCTACTAGTGCTGTGTTCGAAATCACCCCCTACACACTCATTCACTATTCCCTACGTTACTCCACTGATATAGTCCACTTGAAGGAGTGAATGAAAACGAATGAAAAGTCACTGGAAGGGCTCCGCTTTTGCATAGTTTGTGCTGTTTAATAAGTAATTAAAACATAGCACACTGGCAGCTCCAGTAGCAATGAAAATGTAAGGTCCTTGCACACCGAGGCCAAAATTTCCGTATACATTTTTTCATATTCGTCATTCTGTGGCTCTGATTGGTCAAAACAACTCTCAAAATGCTTGCTACGGATGCGGAAAACGCAGAAAATCGAACCCGATCCGTTTTTTTTTTTTGACGGACAAAAGTTTCGGAGGCGGTGTGTAAACATGATTGACACAACTTGAGATCTGTTTTAACGTGCGGAAATTTTGAACGAGAATTTCGGACACACCTTTAGTCTGAACTCTGCTATGGAAACTAGAATGCATAAACCGTAATTAAACAATTTAATAATCAATTAAAACGGAATGTATACCTGTATGATATTTGGAAAATGGATGGATGATTGATTCATCTGCGGCGCCATCTCCAGCGAATTCATTCAGTGCGCGGCTCTCACAGTGCATTATGGGTATTCTCTAGCCGCTGAGTTGAACATCAGTTGTACACTCATTATTGCGGTGCATTGTGGGATTGAATGAGTGCACTCAATAATGTCCACTATGGTTTCGGACACCACTACAAATGGCCGTCCCCTCAAATAGTGCCCTATTTAAGGGGCTGTTTACACGAAACCGTTTTCAACTAAAAACGTAAAACTTTTTATGCTTTTTGTCCGTTTGTTTACACGACAACGGTGTATTGGGCGCCTGAAAACGCAAACTTTTGAAAACGGGTTTCAAAGTGCACACAATCTTCGTGTAAACAACAAAAACGTGAATCTCTGAAGACGATGACGTCATGCACATGTGATTACGTGTTCAGTCTGTAGTGTTTCATCGCCATCTACTGGCCTGGCAGCAGAATACAGCGTTTTTAGTCGTCGGATCCGTGTGAAAGGGGATCGTTTTGACAATGGTGTCGTCTGTACGCAGGAAAACTCAAAGGAAAAACGTCTCAGTTTTAAGCATATCGTTGTCGTCTAAACGTACCCTAAGGCTGTAGGGGACGATCTCGCCTAGGTTTAACGAAAAAACTAGTTTTCATGAATTACACCTCATGTCCTGATTCCGTTACCTGGTCATTCAGGAAAAGGTCGATGAATCCCGGGATGCTTTTGGAGAACTCGGTGAGTTCTCGTACGGTTTCCACAGTCGTGCATTGACAGCGGTAAAACACGTGCACGCCGATCTCCTTATTGGGCAGAGCCCCGTTAATCACCTGATTCCAGACCAGCCCGTTTTCCGCCTGCCACAGCGAGTCCATGTCATGAATGACAAACGGCTGAAGGACACACACAGAGAAACCGGTTTGTTTTCTCAAGCATCTTCATTGACAATGTTTTTAAAGGGATAGTTCACCCAAAAATGTCAGTATTTACTCGCCCTCATGTCGTTCCAAACCCGTAAGATCGCTCATCTTCGGAACACAAATTAAGATATTTTTGATGAAATCCGATGGTACAGGTGGGCCTCATTGACAGCTATTTAATTAACACTTTGAAGGCCCAGAAAGGTAGGAAAGACATCGTTAAAATAGTCCATGTGACTGCTGTGGTTCAACCTTTTTTAATTTTATCCAACTTTATTCAACAATTTCTTCTCTGAAGAAGAATGCGAGATCCGGAACGTGAAGAAATTCCGAGAATGATACGGAAGAGATTAAATTGTTGAATAAAGTCGTTATTTTTTTTTTTTGGCGCACAAAAAGTATTCTCGTCGCTTCATCAAATTAAGGCGAGACACTACAGGTGAATAGGGTAATTTTTTTAACTAGCAGATATCACCATGAAACTTTCCCAGTTGATTACCTACATTAAGATGAGAAAAAAATGTAATACTAGTTTTCTATAATTTAATGTTTAAATATGCAAATTAGGCATTATCTAATAAAATATGCACTAATTTGCATATATTTCAATAAAAAATGAAATCTGTGTATTGGATAAAGCCAGGTTCTAAATTCTTTTTTCATTGTGTTCACATATTAGATGGGAAAAAAAATTACAGAGGGATTTATGGATATCTTTTGTTATCCTATAAATCAGAATATACTGTCAATAGCCTTAAAAAATGATTTTTGCCATGTTTTTTGGAATAAAATGTTATATAAATCAGGCTAGGAATAATATATTTACAAATCCCTCTGTAAATGTCTTCGTAATATAACTAGGTACAAGACTGGAAAGTTTGGTGTATACAGGTGCTACCGAAGTGGAGATTTCGGACTTTGAGTATGAGAGAAAAGTCATTTTGAGAAAACGGGCTTTAAAGATTTAGCATCAGCCAATGAGATTGCGCATTTGCGCCCTTTTACTTTCACGATTGGTTGCTGATAAAAAGGAAATGACCATATTTGGATCCGACAACATTGTACAAGAGAGAGAGAGCTTTCTAACGGTGTGTGTGATGACAGGGTGCAGATCGCGATCGCGGAGCAACGGATGATTTACAACGCCAACTTTTGATGAATTTATGAGAAATCTACAGACGCAAACAGACAAAGTGCAGTAAAATAAAGACCTAAATGTGTATTTCGGACTTTTTTTCACCACAAGTCTGAAAGAAGACATGTTTTTGAAGACAAATATCCCGAAATCTCAAAATTGACCAGTGAAAAAAAAACTATGTTTTTGCCTGCCGTGTCTCGCCTTAAGGTTGAACCACTGCAGTCACATGGACTATTTTAACGATGTCTTTCCCACCTTTCTGGGCCTTCAAAGTGTTAATTAAATAGCTGTCAATGCAGCCCCTCCTGAGCCATCGGATTTCATCAAAAATATCTTAATCTGTGTTCCGAAAATCGTACGGGTTTGGAACGACATGAGGGCGAGTAATTACTGACAGAATTTTAATGTTTGGGTGAACTATCCCTTTAACGTTTGCCGTTTCTCGTAGGGTTACCGGGCTTGCGTCGGTCTTCCCCGTCAGGATGTTGCGAGCTTTCTTCTTGGTCATGTTGAGATTCTTCAAGTAGGCGTTGTTGACCCGTTTGGCGAGAGACTTCAGATCTGAACCGCTGGAGGTCTGGGAGCTCTTTTCCCCCGCTAGCATCCCCGCGACTAGCTTACGCTTCTCCGCCTCCGGCATCCGTCCGTATCGGATCGCTACGAACGCAGAATCACAGTCAACACTGTAGAAGTCAATTTATTTTTTCTGCGTATGTCTGTTGTCGTTTCGCTTACCGTCATGAGACATCCCGAGCACCAGGCACTTTTGAAATCGACAGAACTGGCATTTATTCCGACTTTTCTTTTGGATCTTACAGCTGCGGTCACATTTATCATATTCCAACTTCATTCGAATGGTCCTCCGGAAGAACCCCTGCGAGACACAGAGACACAGTTTTCCAGTCTGGGAGAACAAACTCAGAGGTTTCATGGAGTATGATGCGAGCATGACCTCTCAGTGGTGTAAAGTATTGGAGTAAATGTAATTAGTTACTGTACTTACCGGTAAATATCTTTTTTGGCAACATTGTAGTTTTACTATCAAAGATATTAGCAACTTTTACTGTCTATTTGAATACATTTTTATATTATATATACTTGAATACAATACAAGTATACAATGCCGTTCAAAAGTTTTTGATCTGTAAGATTTTTAATGTTTTTAAAAAAAGTCTCTTCTGCTCACCAAGGCTGAATTTATTTGATTAAAAATACAAAAAAAACAGGAATATTGTGAAATATTATTCCAATGTAAATCAGCTGTTTTCTATGTGAATATACAGTAAAGTGTAATTTATTCCTGTGATCAAAGCTGAATTTTCAGCATCATTACTCCAGTCTTCAGTGTCACATGATCCTTCAGAAATCACTCTAATATGATGATCTGATGCTCAAAAAACATTCATTTTTATTATCAATGGTGAAAACAGTTATTTAAATTTTTATTTCAGGATTCTTTAATGAATAGAAAGTATTGAAGTATTGAAATTGGTGACTTGTAACTTAAGGTATCTGTACTTTTACTCAAGTGTGGTTTCCAGGTGCTCTTTACACCTCGGTGACCTCTGACCTTGCAGCCCTCACAGGCATGAACGCCGTAGTGGAATCCCGAGGCTCGGTCTCCGCAGACTCGACACTCCATGTTAAGCCCCGCCCCCTCGTCTCGGCCCCGCAGGAGCTGCTCTGACAGAGGCGACGCTTTGCACAGATCTACACACACACAGAACTGCATTTCTATGCGAGAATCAAACACTTCATGTACCTTCATGAAATTGTGCGAACGCGTATAAAAGTGTGCGAAAGTAATCACCCCCCATAACCACCATCATTATCCTCACCTGTGGAGGTTGCTGTAGGATCAGGGCTGGTTGTAGAACGGCTCGTGTTGCTTTGCTCTTCCAGTTCGTTCGCCTTGTGTCGGTTCGTCTCCCAGTTAAGCTCCTCCCCCTGAGGCTCCTCCCTCACATCCAGCTCCAGGTTAAGCTCCGCTCCTCCTCCAAGTTCATAAAGCACATCCTCAAATCGTTCGTCATCAGGCCCCTCCCCCTGGCTAATGCAGGGGGAGGAGTCTTCGTTCGCCACACAGACTCCGCCCACCGCCCCGGCATCTCTGGGTAATCTGCTCCTCCCGGCCACAAAGGTCGAGTCTCTTCCGTCCATCTCCAGAAATTCAAACACGCTCATGAGCCGCCGCGGTCATAACAGCATCTGTGAGAGACAAACACGTCACAGACACGCTAAAAACTGGACCACACACGTTTTATGTGCCATAATTCATTTCTGCAATTCTAAGACATTATGCTAATGATGAAATGGTTTGTTGAGCACAGTTTTCAATTCAAAGTTCGCATGTTTCCTATTGAAACAGGAATCGGAAAAGTCCATAAATGAGCCTGTGAAAAAGATGATGTCAATATTTTGGTTTGTTTTCCCAGAATTACACTAACATACAGATTAGCTCAATTACACTCAAACCTGCACTTATTCAGACAACTTTAACATTCCTCACATTATCACAGTTTATTCGCTGTAGTTTAGAAAATAGTAATACAATAGTGGATATTTGACTGGTTTTGTCCGTCCTTCTGTTAGACTCTCACACATGAATTATGTTGAATATCTGTCAGCTGTTAAATTTAACTACACAATTAGATAATACCAGTTTAGCTCAACCAGTGACCAAGCAATGCTTCATGTTGTTCAGTGTGTGTGTAAAAAGAGCATTAGCAGTTACAGAAAACACACTTCAGCAAAACATGATCAGCTCAAAGTGGAGGAATCATTTCTGGTTTATAAACGTTACTGGTAGTCTCTGTATGAAGAATATTTGGGTATAATATGTCACAGTTTACTTTATTTTGCTCTCCTCACTTACATAAATGAACTTTAGTGTCCTGCACACACTAGTGGAAAATGATTTACTAGTGCCTGAATAATTTTTGGTTTGACTGTATAAGACTATTTAATGAAAAAGTTTGTAGATTAGTTGGCACACAAATTTAATTTCTTTACCTTCTGTCTGGAAAAAACTACATATATAATTTAGACTATATAATTATAAATAAGTAATGTTCATATTCTACCCAAATGAGCTTTTATGTGTTTTGGGTGACACTTTATTTTACAGTGTCCTTGTTACATATGTTACATGTGCTTACCGTAGTAATAACAGTAAATTATGCATAATTACATGCAACTAAGCCTCAACCAAACACTAATCCTATAGTAAGCACATGTAGTTTATTAATATTACTCTGTGCTGCTTAAATATATAATTACACTGTAACAATGACACCTTAAAATAAAGTGTAACCGTCTTTTGTACTGTAAGTTGTTCTTTAGTTTCATGAAGTCCAATCTTAAAAGTGCCTGAAGTGTGTGTGTGTGTGTGTGTGTGTGTGTATTCGAGGAACAGTTGAAATAACACAACACTGATTTGACAGCTGTATCGTGTTCAGAAGACACCAGAAACCTGTGGTACGCCCACCCCCGACCGACTGACACACTGCATTCTGGGAACTAACACACACACCAGCTGCAGAGACATGAAACTTCTGCGACTGAACCAAAACCAAAGTAAAGCCCAAATGTTCACAGACTATCTTCAGACCTCTGACAGACACACACACACACACACACACACTGATCGTACAGACGAAAGCTCGGTGAGTAAGTTTCTCAGTATCAGTTTCATCAGAAACAAACAATGAAAGCGTCAGAATGAAGAGCAGAGGTCAGTCAGGCCCGGCACTGGAGCGGCTGCAGGCCCAACAATACGCCTGTCACTGGAGCTCAACACATTTCACCTCTCACACTCTGAAGTCTGTGAACTGTGACTGTGTTTCCACATACGCCGCACACAGACAAACATCGTAGCCTTTGTTTTTGAGTCCTGCAAGTTTAGAAAACATATTTTAACATCCAAAGTAGTTATCGTTATAATTGTTGTCCGCTGGTGTGGATGGTTATATAGTTATCGTTATAGTTATCATAAGTTGGTGTGGAAATACGCTAATATAGTTATCGTTATAGTTATCGTCCGCTGGTGTGAACACTAATATAGTTATCGTTATAGTTATCGTCCGCTGGTGTGGATGGTTATATAGTTATCGTTGTTGTAGTTATCATAAGTTGGTGTGGAAAGACGCTAATATAGTTATCGTTATAGTTATCGTCCGCTGGTGTGGATGGTTATATAGTTATCGTTGTTGTAGTTATCATAAGTTGGTGTGGAAAGACGCTAATATAGTTATAGTTATAGTTATCGTCCGCTGGTGTGGATGGTTATATAGTTATCGTTGTTGTAGTTATAAGTTGGTGTGGAAAGACGCTAATATAGTTATCGTTATAGTTATCGTCCGCTGGTGTGGATGGTTATATAGTTATCGTTGTTGTAGTTATCATAAGTTGGTGTGGAAAGACGCTAATATAGTTTTCGTTATACTTATCGTCCGCTGGTGTGAACACTAATATAGTTATCGTTATAGTTATCGTCCGCTGGTGTGAACACTAATATAGTTATCGTTATAGTTATCATCCGCTGGTGTGAACACTAATATAGTTATCGTTATAGTTATCGTCCGTTGGTGTGAACGCTAATATAGTTATCGTTATAGTTATCGCCCGCTGGTGTGAACACTAATATAGTTATCGCTATAGTTATCGTCCGCTGGTCTGAACACTAATATAGTTATCGTTATAGTTATCGTCCACTTGTGTGAACACTAATATAGTTATCGTTATAGTCCACTGGTGTGAACACTAATATAGTTATCGTCCGCTGGTGTGAACACTTATATAGTTATCGTTATAGTTATCGTCCACTGGTGTGAACACTAATATAGTTATCGTTATAGTTATCGTCCGCTGGTGTGAACACTAATATAGTTATCGTTATAGTTATCGTCCACTGGTGTGAACACTAATATAGTTATCGTTATAGTTATCGTCCGCTGGTGTGAACACTAATATAGTTATCGTTATAGTTACCGTCCGCTGGTGTGAACACTAATATAGTTATCGCTATAGTTATCGTCCGCTGGTGTGAACACTAATATAGTTATCGTTATAGTTATCGTCCACTGGTGTGAACACTAATATAGTTATCGTTATAGTTATCGTCCGCTGGTGTGAACACTAATATAGTTATCGCTATAGTTATCGTCCACTGGTGTGAACACTAATATAGTTATCGTTATAGTTATCGTCCACTGGTGTGAACACTAATATAGTTATCGTTATAGTTATCGTCCGCTGGTGTGAACACTAATATAGTTAAAGTTATAGTTATCGCCCGCTGGTGTGAACACTAATATAGTTATCGTTATAGTTATCGTCCGCTGGTGTGAACACTAATATAGTTATCGTTATAGTTATCGTCCGCTGGTGTGAACACTAATATAGTTATCGTTATAATTATCATCCGCTGGTGTGAATATTAATATAGTTATCGCTATAGTTATTGTCCGCTGGTGTGAACACTAATATAGTTATCGTTATAGTTATCGTCCGCTGGTGTGAACACTAATATAGTTATCGTTATAGTTATCGTCCGCTGGTGTGAACACTAATATAGTTATAGTTATAGTTATCGCCCGCTGGTGTGAACACTAATATAGTTATCGTTATAGTTATCGTCCGCTGGTGTGAACACTAATATAGTTATAGTTATAGTTATCGCCCGCTGGTGTGAACACTAATATAGTTATAGTTATAGTTATCGTCCGCTGGTGTGAACACTAATATAGTTATAGTTATAGTTATCGCCCGCTGGTGTGAACACTAATATAGTTATCGTTATAGTTATCGTCAGCTGGTGTGAACACTAATATAGTTATAGTTATAGTTATCGCCCGCTGGTGTGAACACTAATATAGTTATAGTTATAGTTATCGTCCGCTGGTGTGAACACTAATATAGTTATAGTTATAGTTATAGTTATAGTTATCGCCCGCTGGTGTGAACACTAATATAGTTATCGTTATAGTTATCGTCAGCTGGTGTGAACACTAATATAGTTATAGTTATAGTTATCGCCCGCTGGTGTGAACACTAATATAGTTATAGTTATAGTTATCGCCCGCTGGTGTGAACACTAATATAGTTATCGTTATAGTTATCGTCCACTGGTGTGAACACTAATATAGTTATCGTTATAGTTATCGTCCGCTGGTGTGAACACTAATATAGTTATAGTTATAGTTATCGCCCGCTGGTGTGAACACTAATATAGTTATCGTTATAGTTATCGTCCGCTGGTGTGAACACTAATATAGTTATAGTTATAGTTATCGCCCGCTGGTGTGAACACTAATATAGTTATAGTTATAGTTATCGTCCGCTGGTGTGAACACTAATATAGTTATAGTTATAGTTATCGTCCGCTGGTGTGAACACTAATATAGTTATAGTTATAGTTATCGCCCGCTGGTGTGAACACTAATATAGTTATCGTTATAGTTATCGTCCGCTGGTGTGAACACTAATATAGTTATAGTTATAGTTATCGCCCGCTGGTGTGAACACTAATATAGTTATAGTTATAGTTATCGTCCGCTGGTGTGAACACTAATATAGTTATAGTTATAGTTATCGCCCGCTGGTGTGAACACTAATATAGTTATCGTTATAGTTATCGTCCGCTGGTGTGAACACTAATATAGTTATAGTTATAGTTATCGCCCGCTGGTGTGAACACTAATATAGTTATCGTTATAGTTATCGTCAGCTGGTGTGAACACTTATATAGTTATCGTTATAGTTATCGCCCGCTGGTGTGAACACTAATATAGTTATCGTTATAGTTATCGTCCACTGGTGTGAACACTAATATAGTTATCGTTATAGTTATCGTCCGCTAGTGTGATCACTAATATAGTTATCGTTATAGTTATCGTCCGCTGGTGTGAACAGTAATATAGTTATCGTTATAGTTATCATCCGCTAGTGTGAACACTAATATAGTTATCGTTATAGTTATCGTCCACTGGTATGAACACTAATATAGTTATCGTTATCTTTATAGTTATACGGTGAATCCAGGTTGATTGGGACACATTTTTCCGGTCATTTCAATGGAAAAGACTGGAAATGTCTCAATCAACATGAACTCACCCTATAAGTAGAGCTTGATGTGAATGAGCCTTTAGTCTATAATCATTATAATCCGCTTAACATCAAAACCAAAGAAACAAAACCAAAAATTGTAATAAAAAATAAATAAATAAATAAAACTCAATAATAGCCACAAGATTAATCTACAGTCATTATAATCTGTGCGCATTTATACAAATAAACAAGAGCACAGATTGTCACATTACAACAACAACTTTCCCAACAAACACACCAATCCGCTCTCCCTCTCGCTGAGCTTCAGCTGGTGCGTCGTGATTGGTCAGAACACTGTGATGTGGGTCAGTGTGTGGATCAATCAGTGTGTTCAAACACACAGCAGATTTCCTCAAGAGCTTCATTACAACAGCAGCGTGAGGTCAAAGGTCACCGTGAAGCGCGCGACATGCTAACCTACTACGCATGCTATTCCTGCAGTATAGTAATAACTTATTTAAAAGCAAGTAATTTATTAAACACACAATACTTGTTAGTGTACCTGTAGTGTGCAGTACACTAGTTTACATTCTGAAAGCTCAAATGACCTTTTGACCCCTACAATGTGAAACCCATACGACCTTTGACCTCTTATAAAAAGCCCAAACCACCAAACAGGTCAGCCCTGTGAGAGCAGAGGATCATGGGACTGGAAGCAAGCACTTGAAGAGGTTAAAGTCTCCATGGCAACAGCAGCGCTGATGTCACTTCCTTACGGGCGTGAGGTTAACGACGAGTTAATCAGAAGAGTGACTCTGATTGACAGATGCTAGTTAGACCCGCTGACCTGTAACTCAATGAAGAGCCAGGAACCAATCAAACAGTGGAAAAAACTTACAGAATTCACAAACATTGTTTACAAAAAGTTGCTAGCAAACGCAAAAGTGTTTAAAAACTCGTAAACCAACGTACCGTTGTACTTAAATTATTTTAAAGCAATGTATTGCGAATGACATAAAACAAAACCTTAATAATAACTAATGAGTATAAAACATATATACTGTATATATATATATATATATATATAGTCTAAAAGTTTTATATAAAAGTATATATAGCCTAGTATAAATACAGTATATTTTAAATGTACTATAAATTAAAAACGTATGAGACTCGATTACGTCATTCGCAATGCTTTATGGAAGTAGACAGGCGCTGTAGTTCTTTGTTTCCATGGTAACAGCGACTTCTCTGATTGGCTGATTTCTCTTCAGGATTCTATACACACTTCTTAAACGCCCCGATATTTTTAATTTACATTTACATTTACATTACGCAAACATTTAGGGAAAGTTCGCTTTGGCGTGCTGTTTCAAACTCTCGGAAATGTGCTTATATTACGTCTATTCTTTTGTTTTCTGCCTGCGGTAACTACGAGTGAAACGCCACTTCATAGGTGTTTATCAGACATCGCCACCTTGAGGAATAAAGGTGAATTGCACTTAAGATTCAATTATTGTTGTGCAGAAAGATATACTTGCACTGTTACACACCTCGGATCGTTAGCGCCGCGAGTGAATGAATGGGAAAAGAGGCATTCTTTTATAACTGCATTATTTTTAGGGTAGTGAAGGACGTCCCGGGTGCGTTTAAGGGTTAACTACAGAACATCAAGTATAAACATCAAAATAAAATAAAAAAAATCACATAGAACTACTCAAATTCTATAGATAGAACTACAAAAAATTATTTTCTACATTTTTTTTTTTTTTTACAAAAACATTTTCAATCCAGCACAAAAAAATGTCAACCTTCCAAATCCCTTCAAACTTTTCCAGTTTCTTCATATGAGAATAGAAAATACAATCATGACTCTCTCAGAGAGAGAGAGAGAGAGAGAGAGAGAGAGAGAGAGAGAGAGAGAGGGGTAGAGAGAGAGGTAGAGAGAGAGAGAGAGAGAGAGAGAGAGAGAGAGAGAGAGAGAGAGAGAGAGAGAGAGAGAGAGAGAGGGGTAGAGAGAGAGAGAGAGAGAGAGAGAGAGAGAGGTAGAGAGAGAGAGGCAGACGAGGGAAAGAAGAGGAGGAGAAGTGTGTGTTCAATAACCACACCTGAGATGAACAGAACCGACACACACACTTCATCATATCTCTGAGACGTGTTGTTGCTAGATGTTCGTCATATACAGAGCCGATGATGTGTTAATATTAAGCGGCAGGTCGTGACCTTTCAGGGTCAATGAACGGGTCCCACCACAACATCTCAAAGTTCACATCAACATATTATGTTTTCGGGTATGAGAGTGGGCGACTACCTGGCCTTGAGGGCTTCTTCATGTTTGTATTTTTACATAATGTTGAACCTGTGATGAATGAAGCCCTTCACTCTGATTCCCAGCGATCTCACAGCCTGTTCCTGGAGTTCAGTGAGTGTGTTTTTATCAGGTTAGTAAATACACACTGTGTGCGAGTGTGTCGCAAGAGCACAGATCGTCCCCAAATCACCCCAAAACAACTTTCCCCTACAAACAACACATCTATCTATCTATCTATCTATCTATCTATCTATCTATCTATCTATCTATCTATCTATCTATCTATCTATCATTTCTAACCAATCTATCTATCTAACCAATCTATCAATCTATCTATCTATCTATCTATCTATCTATCTATCTATCTATCTATTATTTCTAACCTATCTATCTATCTATCTATCTATCTATCTATCTATCTATCTATCTATCTATCTATCTATCTATCATTTCTAACCAATCTATCTATCTATCTATCTATCTATCTATCTATCTATCTATCTATCTATCTATCTATTATTTCTAACCAATCTATCTATCTATCTATCTATCTATATATCTATTATTTCTAACCAATCTATCTATCTATCTATCTATCTATCTATCTATCTATCTATCTATCTATCTATCTATCTATCTATCTATCTATCTATCATCAGGTCTTTAATTCTTCGCGCGATCTGTCAACACAAAACTCTCTTTGCAACTTTATATCTGCGCATAAACTTCTCGTTCTCTCTCAGTAAATAACCCATCAGAGTCTCATATGACTCGATCCGCTCCACATGACAGAAACACACGGAACACAAACTTACGAGAGACTTTGTTTTACCGCGTCAGAATAACGAACCTTTATCCCGAAAGTGTATTCCTTCCGTGCGCGTTATTTTCCAGAGGGATCAGTGAGGATTCGTTAAATGTGTCATGTTTACCGGGACGCGCTTCATCAAACGGGAACGGGAGTCCCGACGGCGCGAGCGCTCCGGATCACACGCGTCACGGCTATGACGTCACAGCGGCTCGTTTAATTTAACCCTATACGAACCTCGTGTGTGTTTGTGAGTGTACTTGAATATCATTCACATATGCTGCATATTGTGAAGATGTCCTTTTAATATCTGTTGCTCTTTAACTTCATCACAAACAAGATCCACTTACTTTGAGTTTCCGCGCTCACTTCCGGTCATCGCCAACAGATGGCGCTGTTCGCCACATAAAAACAGACACAAAAACCGAAGTTCCATCCATAGACTGTAAAATAAGTTCAAACTTCAAAGTTGAGAGAATTTTAAATGTTCGTTAAATGTTTTGTTTCAGTATCCAGATAATTATGTAAACGACCAAAACGCATTATTCTCTCATGTAAGAGGGTATTGTCTTTATTGATTATTGTCGTTATTGACGTTAACGCGAATGAAATAGTGCTTCTTCAGTATTTGTACAAGATTATGGATAATACTGTATAAAACACTTTCAAGACTCACATATTTAGTTTTTTTTTATAATCATTTATTCTCTTTCAAGACAGTGAGCGAGAGATAAAGATCAGTTCTACACAAGCACAGCATCTTCTGCTGACACAGGAAACAGGAAGTAAAACCACAAGTTTCACCAGCAAAAACAGCCCGATTCTGCCAGACGACAATAATAACAAAACACATGTACATTTCAGTAATGATTATAGCTCTGAATCATTCACAGTCAGCTAAGTCAGGTCATTTTTCTGTCAGGTTTATCACTGTTATGTCAGGTTTATTCAGCGTCAAGGTCGGTCGGCTCTGTGTTTTCGTTGTTCCCACAGTCCATATTCTCGCCACTGCTGTTATCTTCACATTCGAGGTTGTTCTGTTTGTCTTTCGTTGGAGGTCTCGATTCGGTCTCACTGACGGAGGGGACGCGGACCGGAGGGGCGAGAAGATTACCGGAGGACGCTCTCCTTTCTTTAAGAAAAATAGAAATCAACACATGTTCTTGTTGCATTCAAAACGCATAAACATATAAACACACAAACCTCCAGGGCCGATGGGGTGCATCAGGCGGTTCATCTGAACGTTCCAGTGTTTAACACTCGTGCTGGCCTGACGAAGTTTACGCTGGGCGGCCTGTGGACGACATGTTCATGAGTGTGGACACAGCTAACAGAAGTGTCCTAAAGGCCCTTTCGCACCAAACACGATAACTGTATAAATACAACTATAATGAAAGTATGTTATCGTTTACACCAACGGACGATAACTATAATGATAACTATATTAGCATCCACACCAGTGGACGATAAGTATAATTATAACTGTATTAGCGTTCACACCAGCGGACGATAACTATAATAACTATATTAGTGTTCACACCAGCGAACGATAACTATAACGATAACTATATTAGCGTTCACACCAGCGGACGATAACTATAATGATAACTATATTAGCGTTCACACCAGCTGACGATAACTATAACGATAACTATATTAGTGTTCACACCAGCGGACAATAACTATAACGATAACTATATTAGTGTTCACACCAGCGGACGATAACTATAACGATACGTAACAATATTAGTGTTCACACCAGCGGACGATAACTATAATGATAACTATATTAGTGTTCACACCAGCGGACGATAACTATAGCAATAACTATAATGATAACTATATTAGCGTTCACAACAGCAGACGATAACTATAACGATAACTATATTAGTGTTCACACCAGCGGACAATAACTATAACGATAACTATATTAGTGTTCACACCAGCGGACGATAACTATAACGATACGTAACAATATTAGTGTTCACACCAGCGGACGATAACTATAATGATAACTATATTAGTGTTCACACCAGCGGACGATAACTATAGCGATAACTATATTAGTGTTCACACCAGCGGACGATAACTATAACGATAACTATATTAGCAGAACATTAAAGACCAGAATAACTTTGAGAGAACCTTGCCAGAAGCTGTGTAGCTAAAGCTCTGGGAACGCTCCCCGTTAGTGAGGAACACGTGATGAACTCAAGCTCACCGCGATGTCCTGGTCCACTCTGCGTCGACTAGCCCGCACTTTGTCGAGTTGCTGCTGGGCCTCGTCCAGATCCTGGGACTTCTTGTCCATCTCCTGCTTGAGCTCCTGCTTCTCGCGCTGGGTTTGCTGGAGCTGCTCCTCCTGCTCCTCCTGCAGCGCTAGCAGCGACTTCACCTTCTCCTCCTCCTCCGCCAGCAGCCTGGAAACACCAGCAGCACAGTCAGGCTAAACGCTAGCGCTAAACTAAACACCAGCGCTAAACTAAACACCAGAGCTAAACTAAACACAGAAACATGTCAAACTAAACACAAAGCTAAACCTAAGCACTAGAAATATCAAATGGTAACAACTAAACACCAGAAACATCTGCTAGCAGAGATAAACAACAGAAATATCACTGCTAACACAGCTAACACCGGAAATTTTAATGTCTGTTAACACAGCTAAACACCAGAAATAGCTCTACTAGCATAGATAAACACCAGAAAAAATATTACTGCTAACACAGCTAAATACCGGAGATATCAATGTTGACATAGACAAACAGCAGAAATATCACTGCTAACACAGGATATATCAATGTCTGTTAGCACAGCTAAACACCAGAAATATCAATACTAGCATAAACACCAGAATAAATATCAATGTTAACACAGCTAAACACCAAAAACATCTGCTAACACATCTAAACACCAGAAAAATCCATGTCTGTTAGCACAGCTAAAACCCAGAAATATCAATACTAGCATAAACACCAGAATAAATATTACTGCTAACACAGCTAAACACCTGAAATATCACTGCTAACACAGCTAATCACTGGAAATATCAATGTTAACAGCTAAACACCTGAAACATCACTGCTAGCATAGATACACACTATAAATATTACTGCTAACACAGCTAAATGCCAGAAATATTACTGCTAGGCTAGCATAGATAAACACCGGAAATATCACTGCTAACACACCTAAACATCAGAAATATCACTGCTAACACCGCTAGTCGCTGGACCTATCAATGTTACTGCTAAAATCGAAATATCAAGGTTAACACAGTTGAACACTAGAAATATCACTACTAACAAAGCTAACACCAGAAACATCAATGCTAAATGCCACAAATAGATCAGATAAAGCTAACGTCAATGTGTGTAGATAAAAATAAACATCAGTGGTAATACTGACCACCAAAGCTAACGGCTCTTTACATCAGCAAAATGTGTTAAACAGCGTTGAAACTGAAAACTAGCGCTGAAAAAAGTCCACTTGAGAACTTGTTAAGCGGTGTTAAGTTACTCAGGCATTTAGAAGAGAAACGAAGCGTTAAATGTCAGCAGTTATGCTTAACTTTTGTTTATTAATCAAGTAAAACAACGACTAAGGTTGGAAATCAGTGTCTCATAAACTAGTGGTGATGATGTGGTAAAAACTGTTGAACACACACGTCAGCATTTGTGCAGCGTTCATCGAGACCAAACCAAAGCTAAGCTCACAGGAAGTGTTACGTATACTGTGTGTGTGTGTGTGTGTGTGTGTGTGTTTGTGTGTGTGAGTGTGAGTGTGTGTGTGTGAGTGTGAGTGTGTGTGTGTTTCTAACAGCCTTATTTATTATTATTCAGACAGGGACTAAATGTGTCCAAACCTCCTTTAGCGACTTAATTAAAGATAAAAATAATTTATAAATAAAGTAAATGATATATATTAATTTTTTTATTATTATAATTTTAATATAAATAAAGAAAATCAATAAAATACTTAATTTATGTTTAATGTAATTAATATAATTATATAATATTTTAAAACACTTTATATTATTATAATACATACATAAATATCTAAATATGTGCAATAAATTAAGTATAAATAAATAAATAAATAATTATATTTAAATAGAAACAACAGAAGTCCGTCGATATGCGCTCATTTACATTCACATATAGAACTATATTTAAATATAAACAATAGAGGTCTATATAAGTTGATTTACATTAATATTTATGATGTGTGAACGTTAGAAACGTTAGAACGTTAGAAAACGTTAGAAAAACGTTTAGAGGTCTAGATCTGTACGTTATCTACATCTCATTTGCATAAATATATTAAATGAAAATGTGTGTTCATTTGTGGGTTTTTAAGTGTGAGGGCGGCGCTTCCTTTGAGAGTCACTCACAACCTTTCTGTCTCTCTCTCTCTCTCTCTCTCTCTGTATGTCTCTCTCGTGTGTGTGTGTGTGTGTGTGTGTGTGTGTGTGTGCGCGCGCGTGCGTGTGTGTGTGTGTGTGTGTGTGTGTGTGTGCGTGCACCTGGTCTGTGTGTATCTGTACGTCTCTTCCTCTTGTCTCGCTCTGATCTGTTGCTCTAGAGCTTCTTGCAGTCTGTGATGAAGATCTTCCAGTTCTCTGATTCTCCGTCGCTGATGTTCGGCCTCCAGATCGCGAACCGCCACCTCTGCTCGAAGATTCGCACGCGCCTGACACACACACACACACACACACACACAAGCTTGAGTTCAGTTTCACTGTTCGTATAGGACTTCCTTGTCTGTTCTTTTGATGCAGTGTTTCCCACTTACAGTGTTAAAAAAATGCAGTGTTTTTGCTACTGTACCTTTAAAACTCACATGTATTTGTAAATGACCTCTGTTCTGTAGTATAGTTCATAATGTCATTTATCATGTCATGTGTTGATTTGTGAATGTGGGCGGGTCATTATGCTAATGAGCCCCTGCTTGAGATGTCAATCTCTTCGAGTCGTATTTTACACTTTTGATGCAGTTTTTCCCACTTACAGTGTTTCAGTTTTAAAAGAATAATTTTTGCTACTGTACCTTTAAGACTTAAAGGTACAGTACCGCTTCCCCATGAAGTCTAATGAACACGATGCAAACTAAACAATGAAATTACACTTCAAATGAATTTTTTACAAAGATGTTTTCTGTCATTTTAGGGCGGGTTTTCACGCTCATGTAAATTTAAGTGTTCATCTTTTAAAATAAATTTGGTCTTAGTTATTTGATGCTATAAAAACGTGAATGTGACGTCATGATTGACAGCTGTGATTGACAGCTTCTATAAACGAAGCATCACTGACTTTTTTGGGGATTTTCGAGAGGAGATGGGAGCTTCAACTTAAAAGTTCATAACTGTTTATTTCACACTGACATAATGAGTTGTTCTACAGTAAACTGTCCTAACGGTAGTGAAGGAAGTTCTCATTAGAGTGAGGGCGGGACCTTGATATCGCGGCTTTACTACTGCGCAGAAGCAGGTCCCAAATCAGCGCAAGATGTCAGCGCCATATTAGGACTTTGGCGGCTTCAGTTTTCACCAGTGGAAGAGAACGAAGGGGTGTCGTCCATCTTTTTTAACAGTCTCAGGTCTGTACATGGTTTCCCTGATTCTTCTACTCACGGGAGTTCTGGAGAACAGAGTTATGGACGTGTGGGTTTGGTCCACGATCTCTCTAGAGCTCCCTACAGGAGGAGTGTGTAGCCTAGTATTAGGGGTATCCCTACAAGAGGTGTGTGATGCGGCGGTGGTGTGTGCACAAGACAGGCACTGGTCACTATGGTGGCGTTGGTATAGACCAGTGTTTCTCAACCCTGCTCCTGAAGGACCCCCAACGGGGATATATGTGATAATGAGCTGATGAGTTGAATCAGGTGTGTTTGATTAGGGAGACAAAGAAAACGTGCAGTGTTGGGGGTCCTTCAGGAGCAGGGTTGAGAAACACTGGTATAGACGTTCCCACAGCGTTATCTCGACGCAACGCGAGATCCCTTGAAAGGTTACGCCTCAGTTACGACTGTAGCCTCGGTTTCCCGAAGAGGGAACGAGACGTTGCGTCGCCTTGCCGTACCTCCGGGCGAGCCAGTGCTTCGACCTATCAGAAGCTGACAATGTTTGGTCTGGGTGCGCTTTATAGTGTCCTGCCATGACGTCTCCCGCCTAGACTGATATCACAAGTGCTTCACGACGCAATCACGCAGAGCGTTCCCAACCCGCCAATCTCGACGCGACGCCTCGTTCCCTCTTCAGGGAGCCGAGATGACAGTCGTGATGTGGAGCGTGCGGGTGTACCTCCTGCGCCTGCACGAGCTGCTTCTCCAGGGCGCTCTGCAGCTCCTCCTGCTGTCTGCTCCTCCTCTGCTCCTCCTCCTTCTGAGAGACTCGCGTCTGTATCTGCGCCTCCTTCAGCAGCTTCAGCTCCACCCACTGCTCCTCGCGCTCCTCCTGAAGCTCCTGCAGACGCCGGGTCTCCTCCACCCGCAGCGAGCGCCTCCTCTCTCGCTCCTCGCGCTGGTCCCGGCGCCGAGCCTTCAGCTCCTCGTGGAGAGACGTCTGGCCCGACGCAGACAAGCGCTGAGCCGTCGCCATCGCTGACGGAGAGAGAGAGGGAACTCACATATATATATATATATATATAGGACACTTACAGGATTGCTGATGGAGACACGGGATCAGGGGAACAACTATTACAATTAACTCAACCAATCAAATTCAGTGAGGTTTATGCTTTATATATATATATACAGTATATAAAGCAAATATATATATATATATATATAAATACAAAATATGCTTTCTCAATGTTTATTGTTAAATGAAGGTGTCCGATATATATGTATGTCCGTTATATATTTAAACGCAACACTTTTGTTTTTGCCCCCATTTTCATGAGCTGAACTCAAAGATCTAAGACTTTTTCTATGTACACAAAAGGCCTATTTCTCTCAAATATTGTTCACAAATCTGTCTAAATCTGTGTTAGTGAGCACTTCTCCTTTGGTGAGATAATACATCCACTTCACAGGTGTGGCATATAAAGATGCTGATAAGACCGCATGACTATTGCACAGGTGTGCCTTAGGCTGTCCACAATAAAAGGCCCCTCTAAAATGGCTGGTGAGTATGCTGGCCATGCAAGAACTGGGATGTTTTCAGCTTCCAGGAATTGTGTACAGATCCTTGCAACATGGGGCCGTGCGTTATCATGCTGCAACATTTAATTCCAAAGGCAAAGTGAACTTTATCAGGATGCATAGTATCCTGGATTCATGAAATAACTGGCCTTTAAAAATAAAAATCTGTTGGTATGCGTATTTAAATATATATATGTGCACAGGCGTGTAGTCTTTCTCAACCAATTTTTTTCAAAGTCCATGCGAACCGGAATTACTTTGACAACGTTTTATATGTTGTCCGTTATTTTTGGCAACGTTTAATTAAATCAGTTTGTGCTTTATATATATATATATATATATATATATACAGTCAAATCAAAAGACATTTCTCACATTGCCACAGTTTATTCGCTATAGTTTAGAAAATGGTAATAAAATATGAGAAGAACTCAGTTGATATTTGACTGGTTTTGGTCTTCTGTTACGCTGGGCCAAACCACAAGATATTCGGGCCGATTTCTCCCCTTCCGACAATCCTACATTCAACATGTTAAATATTTACGAACAGAAATCCTGATGTATGGGGGAAACCCCGAGGACAAACGGGGTTTATATATGTATATGTAGTGTAATTAAGTTTTGATATCTGATGAACCTTGTAAGTGCTCTTTGTTTTAAAGGATGTTTAGATATTGAGAGAATGATTCTTGCTAGTGAAATCCGACCTGTGATCCACTCTTGTCTCTGTCTGGAGTCCGGCGCGCTGATCTCGAAAGTCTTGTTGAGCGTCTTCACGCAGAACATGCATCTCTTCCCGTCCCGGTCCGACAGCACCTGTCAATCACAGTCGAGACGTGGCATCAGACGGAGAAACGTGCGCTCGTGGGAAACGGATCCTGTCCCGGGACTTTTGCGTTCCGGCATGTTTTTAAACGAACTGGCATACACAAGTGCGTTAGTACATGGTGACGGTGCGTGCACACTAGTTCAGTTCAGTTCTTGTGCGCGAGCGCGAGCGTAAAGCTCAACTTTAGGAAATTAATGGAAAACGCTGGCTTTGCGTCAGTGTGCGCTCAATCGTACGAGTGCGGGTTAACGCAAATGTATTTGGAGGTTATGCAATCGGCCCCCAGCAAATATATTTTTGATCAGCTTTCCTAAAGGTGCAAAAGATCGTCGTTTCTCCCGCCCCGCCTCCTCAGACTCGACGCTCATGCCAGTTTGAGACACGCAAAAGGAACGAGCGCAATGGACAATGAAAATTGGCAAATGGAAAAAAACGAAGTATATCAGACCAAAACCAGACTGATCTCATGAAATGGCGTATGTATGACACGCCAATTCGTATTTCCATTTTTGGCGTGCTATCAACACGCATAAACGCTTTTCAGCGTGTTTATCATAAATATATGACCTACCCCAACCCCGTCCCTAAACCTACCCGTCACTGGGGTTAATACCATTTATGAGTCTTCCCCTACCATCCTAGGAAAAAAAATATCGCTCCCCAGATGTAGATCTACATTTTGCTTCGTTTCGCTCGGACATTTAACGGCGTAGATGACGGTTCATGCGGATAGCTCAAAATGCGTATAGGTAACACGCCACTTGACTTGAAAGTGGCGTGTATGTTTACGCAAAAGTCATGATGTCATGTTGCCAAAACAAACATTCAGCCTGGAAACGCACATTTCACAGTAAAATAACTGGCTGTAGAAGTGTTTTTCAGAGAAACCAGTATGTGAACTCAGCATGTTTCCTCAATATATGCAAACATATTATGGTATTTTTATGCTTTAGTAGAGTGAAAAGTTACATACAGCACCTTTAAGTTCAAAATCAACATCATTGGTTGGTGCTTCTTACGGCTTATCGTTCTGCGCGTATGACGTGTGGAGAGTAGGATCAGGTTTGGAGATCAAAGACAGTCAAGCATATTTTACATTTTCCATATCCACGTGTAAAGCTGGTCGTGTTTCTGATCTAAAGAGATCCCGAAGATAATCAGGATAGCAGGAGACACGAGCAACCCTAACCCTAACGACGAGGTCCGTGAGAGAATATCACTGATCAACTGAGTGATTCTGGGTCTCAAGCGTGACAGAATACACACTAGGCTGTACAGAAACTTGTGAAAGAATTTTGTGTCCCGGGAAAGCTTGAGTCGTATGGCCAGTGTCGGTCACAGTGCTGTTTTTGATCCGCTGGCCGTACCTCCACACAGCAGTTCTGGTCCATCTCGATGACGCCCTTACACTCCCTGCCGTCCTCGCTGGCGTAGTACGAGAAGGACCCGGGCTTCAGGCAGAACCAGCGCTCGGTCCAGTTCCTGCGCAGGTGTCCCTTCTTCCACAGGTAGCCCTGAAACCACACCAGCTTTCATTGCTGAGGCATGTGCAAGGGATTTGTCCCGGTGCACAGGTGCATACAAATCATTTAAGGTAACACTTTACTTGAAGGGGTGTGCATAAGACTGACATGACACCTTCATAATCATGACATGACACAGGGCGGTTTTATGCATGTTTATGACAACTGTCATTAAGCGTCAATCGCTCAATTATAACATTTCTAATGCAAATATGACATTGTATGAGATGTCTTTGTTATAACAACTTGACATAAACCAATACATCATAACATGTCAACTTGACATTACCAAGACAACATAAATTGTCATAAATATGTCTCATGACAGCCAATGTGAAAACCAACCACATGACAGTTTAATGTAATGTTAACCCATAAAGCTCAGTGGTTTCTTAAGTTTGATAATTAATCTGCTATGTCATGTTTATGACATATTTATGACAATAATGTCATATTTGCATTAAAAATGTCACAATTGAGCGATTGACACTTAATGACAGTTGTCATAAACATGCATAAACCCTCCTTCATATTCATGACATGTGTCATATCATGATTATGAAGGTGTCATGTCAGTCTTATGCACACCCCTTCAAGTAAAGTGTTACCGAATAGGGTAAACACAAATAGACATCTATTTTAAAACACGCGCGCACGTGTCATACGGGCGTTGGGTTGGGTATCGTTTGGGTATTTTACGATAACTGTGCCAAATCGATACTTTTAAAACGGTACTGGTGGCTAAAGGTTTTTTTTTTTTAAAGAGCCATAAATCGATGGTTAATGACATTAAATAACGGCTTATTTATTGAAAAAAAAAAAAATCTTAAAATGTAACAATATATCACAATTTTAAAGTATGCGTAAATAGATATATAGATACAAAACACAACAAATTTACATAATTCACAATACTACCTAAGCCACCTAACCCAACTACACTTGTTATGCCGACTCTGACCGTAGGAGTAAATTAGTTCCTCTAAAAGGAGTTCCTAGAACTAAAGTCGCTCCTAGTTCCTGCGGTGCGAACACGCCAAACTCCGGGAACTCCCGCCAATAGTTCTAGGAACGATGAAAAGGTTCCTCCCAATGGCACTGGGTTTCGGTACCCATTCTTCCACATCAGCCAGAGGAAGTGACATCAGCGCACCTCTTTCAACACGTTCCCCACCATCTCGCGATACACCTTCTCCACGGCCATGGACAGGCTCTCGGCGTCGGCGTCCCGGCTAGCGGCCGCCGCGTTCACCAGCTCCAGGAAGGTCCACACGCTCAGGGCGTCGCGCGACGGAAGCTCCTCGAGCTCCACACAGCTCAGCTCCACCGTCATCACACTGCTCACCTTCCTCAGCAGGTACTCCGCCTGACAGCGGGAACACACGCCAGAACACCAGGGAACATGATCAACACACGTCCCGTTGAAGTGATGTGTAATCATGGAAAACGTTTACAAAACATTGAAACAACATCTAACGCTGAATGGTTGTTAAAAGCCTAACAATGTTAACTAAATACTTTTTTATTTTAATGTATGTTTTGTAGTGCTGTCAAATCGATTAATCGCGATTAATCGCACAAACGTAAAATTTTGTGTTTATATAATACACACACACACACACACACACACACACACACATATATATATATATATTCACACACATATATAAACACAAACTTTTATGTTAGAATCGATTAAATCGCGATTTATCAATTTGACAGCACTAATATTTTTGCATCTATATAAGCTCATTTACATACGTATATAAATATTTAAATTATTTTATATTTATCTTATTATTAAATATTTTTTATATATATATATGAAACGTGTGTATATACTCAAAATGTAAATATCATATAAATAAATTAGTGCTATCTTATCGATTAATCGTAAGAAAGTTTGTAAATATATAATATGTGTGTGTATAAACATATATATGCAGTATATGTATACAGTATATATATATATATATACAGTATATATATGTATACATATACAAATTTTTATGTTAGATGTGATTAATCGCGATTAATCGATTAGACAGCACTAAAATAAATATATAATTATATTTACATTATAACATCGAAAAATAATAAAATAAAAAACATTGAAACAACATTTAACGCTAAATGGTTGTAAAAAGGTTAAAAATTGTTCAATATTATTTTATAAATATAAATGAGAAATATATGGGTTTATATATTTAAAATTTAAATCATATTTTTAAATTTTAACACTGAAAAAAGTTTTTAAACATTGAAACGTTTAACGCTTTATGGTTGTAAAAATGATAACAAAATACTTATACAGAAAATAAGGTTAACAAATAAATTATAATTTTTATATTTTTTGCATCTATATGAGCTCATTTACATAAAAATATATGAACAATCTGTATATATTTTAAGTATATTCAAATGTAAATAAATACATAACTAAATTTAAATAAAAATGTGTGTGTGTGCGAGAGTGTGTTAAAAAATCTATAAATATGTATATGTTAGATGTGTTTGTAACAAAATACTTATAAATCAATGGTGAAATTTTATCAAGATCTGTATCAAAAGTAAGAAGTTGAAACAACGTCCCAATATCAATGTTGATTCAATTTGCAATAAAATTTAACATTCAACCTTCATCGTAAACACTGAAATGCAGAATAAGGTCAAGGGTCGTGAATGAAAAATTAAATCAAGTTCGTTTTGATTTCATTCTGATGGTCAAACTGGTTTTTGAAACATGCTAGCTGGTTTAATGACCCGCTAATGACGAGCATGTTCAGCAGAGCCTGGTCTCGGTGGAGTTGGAGACGGGTATCAGCTCACCTCCTCCGGCACGAGAGCGAGAGGGTATCTGTCCTCCGCCAGGAAGTTGAAGAGGCACCAGAGGCGGAGAGCGTCCTGATTGGTCAGAACCCGGGGCGTGTCGGGACGGTAGTTTTTCTTGGAACACAGAGTCCAGCAAAGCTCGTCGACTTCTTCTTTAACGAACGTCCCCTCCGTCACCTGACCACACAGCAAACCCAACGCCATCTGGATTATTTCCTCAGGAAAATCAATGAGTTTCGCTATGTTTCTATGCAGAGTTGCGAATTTAAATTTAAATATCACGTATAACATTTGCGAATAAAGAAAGGTTTCCATCCCAGCAAGCAATTTTGCGTTTAAAAGACGTCTAATAGCGTCCAAACGTCTAAGGCAAAGTACAAGGCAAAATCTGGGCTGTCAGTGAACATTTAATTGACGTCTAAACCATCGCCCAAGAATAGACTAGTCAACGATTAGACAACGAAGAAATTAAATGAGTGAAGTAATGACACCAATCACTGTTGACTTTGCATACATAATGGAATATCATACATCTCGCAAGTTATTTTGGCAAAAACGACATTTAAGGTTATTTCGTCTAGAAGTGAGTTACTCATAGCCGGACTATATCGGGTCTATAGTTAACCTAGACGGTGAAATGACGGCTGTTGCATGCTGGGATGTGTTCAAGAGAACAAAATCTGGGACAAAATATCAGTAATAAAACAGTACGTTTCTGCACTGTGGCTGTTTCCCCTCCATCATAAACGAGTGTGTGTCGAGCGTCAGGCGAAACACAGTAACGCTGTCGTGTTCTCTGGCGTTCGGATGCTGGTGTTCGGGAACACACTCGTGTGTGTGAGACGCTTCTGGAGGGAATTACACCCAATCACTCTAATCACACACTTCGACTCCGGCGCTTCAGAAACACCAAACCAACATTAGAGACGCTGCGACGCCATTGGTCCACTGGTTACTGCGGTTATCCAATCACAGCTGACGCTGAGGCACAAGAGTTTATGAGGGATTTATTCGGTAAATGTGTTTCCGTCGTAGTTTATATGCGTAGATATTTTAGAATTTATGCGCATTTTGGTATTTCCATCCAGCGTTTTTTTATTCGTAATCCCATAATGCACATAAAATATGTGGATGGAAACAGAGCTAATGGCAACTTGTGAGTTTCTGAAGAGATCCTCCGGCCTCACGGCAATTCGTACAAATTTCGTACAAAAATGCGTACAAATTTTCGTACAAAAATCCGTACAAAAATGCGTACAAATTTTCGTACACTTCACTTGTGCGAATTTGTTAGATTTTTGCTAAATGATACATATTTTACGAGTTGGCCAATTGATATGAATTCGTACGAATGACCAACCCCTGACCCCGCCCCTAAACCTAACCAGGACTGGGGTTTAGACAAATCGTACGAATTAGCCACCTCGTACTCACTCGTACGAATAGGTCGTGAGATCTCAGTGACGTCTCAAACTGTGCTCCGGTTTGACTCGTCCAACGATCTGAGCTGCTCTCCACATTGATGTATAGCTCTACTGGATTGAGCGAATTTTGGGATAAACATCCGAGACAAAGTTGGTCGTTCAGTGTTGGGGCGAACTCATTACACGTATGACAACTGTCATTAAGCGTCATTCGCTCACGAGTTACGAATTCAGATGACTTTAAGTAACTAGTAAAGAAACACATTACTTTTAAAATTTAGAACAAAATATCTGAGTTACTTTTTCAAAATGATTAACACAAGTAACTTTGTTTTCCCATTTATTGACTGACAGACGTTATGTGTGTGTGTGTGTGTGTGTGTGTGTGTGTGTAAACATGATGGTTATTGTAGTTCTAGACTAAATGTGAGTGCATTTACTCATCTCGCTTGCACACAAAAAAGATTAAATATTCCTCAAAATGAATAAAATCAGTGAAATGCAGGATCAGAATACTATGCAAACCTCCAATAACTAAATATGTTAAATAAAACATACATTTTTATGCATTTAATCTCACGTTATTGACGAATGCACTTCTGACTTTCGATGATTCAGTTAAACAATGAGCAAAAATGACTAAAGATTTTTTTGTTTTTATTGGTAAAGTGTAAAACTTCTTCTCCTGCATCCTATCGTTCGTTAATCCAGAATAACAGCAGCTGAAGGGTGTGTTTGAGCGGCGCCCTCTACTGTACAGGAGTGAAACTGCATTCCCTTCAGCCTGAGGATTATTATTTCACTTTTGGTGTGAAAGGGCCTTTACATTTAATCCAAAAATATAACTTTTTTGACACAAGCACAGCCCAGGTGAAAAAAAAGTAACGCAAAAAAGACGTGACGCATTACTTTTCTAAAAAAGTAACGCAATTAGTTACTTTTTAAGGGAGTAACGCAATATTGTAATGCATTACTTTTTGAGTGTTGTACGCGCCTCTGAGTGTGTGTTTGTGTTTCTCCACGTTGTTTTTACAGCCCTAAACACTTGCTGGACTAATTTTGAGATAAACATCCGAGACAAAGTCGGTGGTTCGGTGAATCGTAACTCAAGTCTCACGAGTGTGTGTTTGTGCTTCGGTACCTTGTCCAGTATGAACTGGTTCAGGTAAGGCATGTACCCCTGACTGGATACGGGGCCGTCATCATCGTCGCTGAAGTGTCTCTCGAGGGCCGCCGGATCGTGAGGAATACGCAAAACACTGTGAAGGTTATGAGACAAAACCTGTGCACACACACACACACATACACAGAGAGAGAGTCTGACTGCAGCTTTTGTGTGATGCCGATCTGTCTAAAGCCACAGAGCGTGAGTCAGATTAACTAGAACAGCAGTTTCACACACTTAGTCATGATAGTGAACTATAGAGCAAAACTCCAGTCACTTTACAGACTCATACACTGATGTGTTGAGTGGAAACATTAAGTGCGCACTTGAAAACACTAACGTACACAACATTTGCATATAATACAGAAAGGTGTTATTATAAGTACGGTACACATTACATACATACAGTTGAATTATTCACTGTATCAATCACTTTTTACTTCGTGGACATCCATAAAATGAGATTTAGTACACTTCTGGAGATACTATAGTTTGGTTCACAACAGAGACACACACATACATGCACAGTCAAACACCTGTCTCCCCTCTAACACACACACACACACACACACACATCTGTCTCACCTTGAGCTGTGATTTGGACACTTTGCCGCTGTCTTCGGTGTCCAGGGACGTGAAGGCGTACCAGATACTCTTCAGCAGAGCGGCTCTCAGCGCCATGTTTCAGACCTGATGGTTTTACACTCTTATTTTCTCCTCTCCTTCACTCTCTCTGCAAGTGTGTCCACATCCTGTGTGTGTGT